TCTGGCATCTTCTATATAATTATGATCTAAAAAACTGTGATATTGCTTCGTTAAATCCGTAATATTTTAATTTTTTACATAGTCATTATCAATGGTATGAAAAATTTTAGAAAAGTCTAATGATACCAAAACCACAGCACTATCTTTTCAGTCATATTAAGTAGTTCTGTCTTTAGACCGTGTGTTTTGCGAAAACCAGTTGATGATAATTTACCAAGGACATTTCACTCTCGACGTGAGTTTTCAGTGATGTGATATCATTGAATATTAAATATTTATGAATTCCTTCATCATATAGGCGTTACTTATCTTTACACTTTTTAGAAAATGTTTTAGACAATACAAACACCACATCGCTTTGTCTAATAGTTTCTCAGTAAAAATAAAATTTTCAGGGGTCCACTCTAAAATAAAGCACCGAAGATTGGAACTAAAAATTTTAATTTCAATCTGCAGTTGAGCTGTATTAGTTTCCGGACACTCTGTATTCATTATAGTCTATACCAAAAATCAATACTCGTGTAATTATTTTCGCCATTCCCAAAATTAGAGTCTAAAACGTCTGGATTGTTAAGTTATTTTCAATTTCACCTTACCACAATTCATCACTGAAATGTCAATATTATATTTGAAAAGGCCTCTACCTATCTGTCATATTGAGATTAAAAAATATTATAAATCCATAATGATTTACTGCCTAAAGAGATTGTTTGCCAATAAAATTTTATCAAGATTTATTAAATCCGCCCTTATGAACTAAATGTAAACATTGATACGATAAATTATAAAGGATTAAGAAGACATAAAATATTCCCTTACTAAAGAAAAATGATAAATTTGGACAGAACAACATTAACATGTTCTATTAGCAGCTATCTTAATTAACTCTCCCAAGATAAAACTCCCAGATAAGTGATTTAAAAATGATACACCTAGTTAGTTAAAAGGATAAAATTAACTTCAGCTTTCGATAAATGGAGGATAAGCTGGCTTATTCATCATCAACGATGGCAGACATTAACTTTAAACATTTTCACATGTAAGAGACACATGTCGTGGGTAGCGTGAACAGAGTTTGCTTAAAAGTGTTTTGAATTAACAAGAAAAATGGCTATTTCAATTTGAACTGGCACGGAAACTTTATCGGAGAGGAAGTGGAGTCATGGTATATTTACGTCTATGAAAATTATCATAGTGCAGACGGCCTGATTAGCTTGAATGCTGCGCTTAAAATACTGAAAGTGTTTTTGTTTTAATGTATTTTTGTATCATTTAATAGAACGAATGGTGCTATTGGCAAATTTATAAACACTGCTATTTATTTATTAATACCAATAGGTCAAAGAGCAATATGAGTAATTCTTATTCGGTAGACTTACTTGGCCAAATAATTAGGAAATGTACATTATAGGAGACACCTCAAAATTTTGCGACATTTCAAAATGGGAGAGACATTTTTAAAGTTATATCGTTTTCATACGAACAACGGTTTAGTCGTGGTCTCAGTAGAATTTTCAGAGCTAAAGCTGGCCCGTTTTAAGAAATTGCCTGGCGTCAGTGAGGGGTACGGGGTAACTTACAAAGACTTACCTCTTATATCATGTCCATTAACAGTTGCTTATTATTGTCAGCATACACTTGAATCTTTATTAAATCATTAGTAAACCTTCTATATACTTTATTCCTTGACACTTTCCATGTTTAAAATAAAAAATTTGTAGATTCTTTAGACAAATGAAACAAAATACACAACAGGCGAAATATTTTATTGTTAATAATTGAATAATGATTGCCATTTTTTTATGTTATAAAATAAAATAGCTAGGTATAAAAAACTAATGCTTTGTTGATGTCTCCAAATTATTAATCTTGTGTTTTGTTGGCGTTTTAAATTTTCTGTTAATAAATTTAAGATTATTTTCGTACTCGTATTCGTATTTTCGTATTTTCTCGATATTTTAGAAAAATGTTCGAATCAGAGCTTCTACTCACATGACGTGGTGTGAAAGTAAAACAGGTTAAAATAAAAAAAAATTAATTGTTTTCGTATCAAAACAAAATATCTATACCCTTTTTAATAATTAAATTTAGCACAAATTTCGTTTTGCACTCTTCTTGATATTCTTACTAAAAACAACTTGTGCATTTTTTTTAACAACAGAAAACGTCTCGGAAAATGTAAAAATATGATTTGCATACATAACAAGTATTTTTTTATTATTGAGTAACCCCTTTAGTTTAAAATTAGTGTAAATAACGAATTTCTATTTTATATTTTGCTCAGATTAAGTTACTTAACTTTCAGGATCACGAGAAAAAGAAAAAAGTTCCAATATTCCAGTGTACCATTTATTTTTACAGCTTTTGTAACAATAAACGTAACCTGCGTTTTTCTGCCGCTTCCATCACACCACATTAAAAAACAATCAAAAAATAAAATAAAGCATATAAATATGCAGTTAGAGCACAATAACACTAATAAAATTATCTATAACCTGGAACGCAGTAAACGCACTTAGAAGCTTAGATAACTGATTGCTGGAAACCTGATGATATGCGCAGTTCTCTGCATATGTTTTACGTTCGCCCTCCATCTCCACTCGATAGATCGCATTACAACGGAACGGTAATATAGTTTATACATCGGAAAATAAATTTGGATTTTAAATTTTTAAATTTAATATACAACTTTTTAACTGTAAATTTTAATATACAAGTTTCGTCTTTCTTTTTCCTTTTTTCTTTTCTCCTTTTTCTCTATATGTTGTTTAAGTGTTTCTTTTTCTACCGAATGCGATTCCTTGCAATAAATTTCATAAGATTAGATTTTAATATTTTTCTCATGCTTAATAATAAACGAAGGCAGAGATTCGAATGACTGGCTTGCGTTAAACGCCTTGTACCTGAAAATATTATTCTGTTTAATTAACATTTTGTTTTATTAAACGTTGTACCCATACGTGCTTTGAAATCACACATATTTAGAATTGCAATAAATAAACACAACAGAAACTAGAGAAACTTTTGAAATGCGCGAAACAGAAAATTACAAAAAAAAATGCCTCACGATGTTTTTCCCTTAAAGTTGCTTTTAATAGAGAGACAACAGGTAGATTTCACCCTGTATACTAAGTTCAAGTTTTTTTTGTAACTACAAGGTGCGGCAAAAATCACCCTGTTCCTGCAGCAGTGGTTCAACTCTTTTTGTTTGATTTTTTCCAGGTCTAACCTGACCCGACTATGAAAAAAATAAAACAAAGCCGCTGGCGCACTGCGGAGTCGGCAGGTCGTCCAGTGTAAATATTTAAGTCATATTCATTATAACATATGTTTATTGGCCTAACAGAAATACTTGTGGCCCACCCAACGGCCCACCTTTAAATTTGAACTAGTTCCGCCACTGAGAACAAGCTAATCATATTTTATTTAAAAACAGAGAGTTTCCATAAACATCGTATTCAATGACAGCGTACACACATTAAAGTAGCAACCTGTAATTGATATGTATATTTCGTATAATCTATTTACCCTAATATTTTTGTTTCCGCTATGAATCTTTGAAGTGGATTTGCAACCTTAGATCTGGGTTAAACAAAATCATTTAACGGACTATAATTCCCCCTAGAACATGTGTGTGGCCTCTTCATATGAAGTTTTTTCTTATGCTGGTAGTAATGTCACTAAATCAAGTTTTCACGTGTTATTCATTATAAATGAAATATATTTAAATATTTTGGTCTCGTCGAATTATGTTTCAAATCAGGTTCTAAATATAATAATTTTAAAATTACGACGTAAAAAATATGTCATAATGATTTTATAACTATTTTGATGCAACTTGTGGACAGAAAAACGTTCTGTTCCCATATTTTTCTTTGCTCCTATGTTAAAAATACAAGAACTTGATTAAAAACGATTTTATTACTACTATAACCCATAAATTAAACAGCTCTAAGAAACTGCAACATGGTTTTGGAACTTCTTGTAGAAAACATCATCCATTTTTAACAGGAACATGAATAATAACATTAATCTTGTAGCAATTATTCTGAAAAATATATTAGGTGTGGTACTACTAATTATAATATTTCTCTTCGAAGTTCAAAGAGTTGCGCGAGGTACCACACCTACTCATTTAAGACAGATATATTGTTCTTTATATGACATAATGTTAACGTCACCAATAACTTTGTTGGGCTCTTCCTGTTTCGTGAATTGTAAAGGAGAGGAGAGTTTTAGAGTAATTTATCGAATTATACAGAGAAAGTTTAATGAAAATGCGTTCGTTACTGGCATTAGATTTTTGATAAAGTTAAACGCACTAAAATAACTTGTCATGCCTGTAAAAATGGATGTAATGGAAACAAAAATTTTTATGTTTTCATGACACAACAAAATGACTCATGTTTCGTGTTATTTTTATTATTCATTATCCTTTTTCTGCAAGCATGATTCATAATATATTACTAGCGTCCAGTAGGATTTACTTGCATCACTTCCTTTGTAGTAATTATTCTCTATTTATTTAAGTAAAAACACAGAATTTTTGAAATATACCGGGTGGTCCAAAAAACGGATTTACTTTTATTGCTTATATATTTCTTAATTATTAGTTGTTTTTAATAATCCACAAGTTGAATTATAACTTAGACACCGGTAATTTTCCGTGAGTCTCGGACTAGATTTCCAACCGATCTGTCTGAGCTCTTCCGTATGCAAGGACAGTGCATGCGCAGCGAGATCCCGACCGTGTTTATTCAGTATTCAGTTTGCCTATACAAACGTCAGGGTATGTAGACAGGCAGTGCGAAGATAAAAATAAATAGATACAACTATGTCGACAATCATGGAGGACGCGAAAAAATCAGTTTCAAAATAAAAAAAAATACACAGGTATTACAACCCCTGGTATCCCTAAAGGCACCTCAAAGATATTTAGAGACAACGGACACATATTCGATATCCGAGTATTAATTTCTGCCTTAGAAAAAAAATCCCATCTCTTCGACCGGGAATCGAACTCGGGACTCCAGCATGAGAGGCAAGTGTCTACACCGTTCGACGATGAAGCCATGAGTACATCTCCCAAATCCATTGATTAAATGTTGTGTATTGTATATTAAAATATTTATAAATGTTTACTGTTTAAACCTTGACTATTTTTTCAGTAAAAATAGTTCCACCGTATACTAATGAAGACTTAAGTTTGGTAACTAACATCATCTATAATTTTAATAAAAAATTATCTGTCTTTATATGGTCGCTTAACTTAATTTTAGTTACAATTCAGTTTTTGAATAATCAGAAACGACATTAAGAAAATTATAAGCAATAAAAATATCCGGTTTTTTACCAATCGGTATATTTCATTATTTTCACCGACTAATAATTGTTTTCAGATATTCTTTCATGAATTAGTAGGGTTGTAAATTATGTAAATGAATTTATTTCTGTTTTTAGTTAAAGCAGACGAGATATTTTACTGATTCATATAAGAAACTGGATCAATTAAAAAAATATATATTGACATCATTACATACATATTTTTCTATTTCGGACTGTCATCATTATGTAATCACTAATCAGCTTCAAGTGGATGCAGCTTATCCTGACATCATGTGCTTGGATATTATTGACCATATGGCCTAAATGTCTAATCTTGCTAAGATATGTAGGTGTTTAGTCGATCTCCCGCTCTAGGCCTTCTTATACATTAATAATAAATAGATCCTGGATTGAAAGTTCTCGGGCGTTAATCCCATTTATTTACGGTCACTTCAGGATACCGCAAGGCAGTCTCTTAGGACTTTTGTAATTTAATGCTTATCATAATATCAATATTAAATTATTAATTTTTTTAATTGCACATAACTATATTTTACAGAAAGAGAAATGACAGATTCATTATTAGAGATCGGGAGGTGGCGATAAATTATGTCAATTCCAGGGTTGACGCGGTGATGAGTCATCGCTTAAATATGTTCATGCATATATGAGAAGTTTCACATACCTCTCACCACTACTCAATTTACCTTAGTCAGTATATGACTAGCAGGTTAGCCACTATCGTTTGTCTGTTCCATAACCTATGGCATACTGAGAAGAACTAATAAGTTCGAAACCGGTCTATGTCTGGTTAAGAATTGACAAATGATATTAGCTACCGATCTATCATGATTTGAAGGTGTAATCCAATGCAGGTCGGGGTATTTGCCCGCTGAGTAATTGTTTCGTTCAAATCATAATTAATAACATGCATATATGGCAAAGTATCTGACCTTGTGGTTATTTTGGCTAGTGACATCCAAAGATATAAGAAGAGGGCTGAAAATATTGGTGCGCTACCGAGCTCAGTAGCGCAGTGGGCTAGAGCGTTAACTGACAAACGTAGCTGGTTTACTGTTCAAATCCCGATTTCGATTCTGGCAAAATCGAAGGGTATGGTTGTGTATGTGTTGCGTTTTCCTTAATGTTGTTTCCGATAGCACCTGAACAGTGCTATACTGCCCACTAATACAATTTTGCAAAAATTCCCTAAATATTAGATTTTCATATCACCCGCACATGTTTTATAACTGTCTGAGGAAATTTGTTTCTTAATTTCTTCAATAAAAAAACAGAAAAAACTTTATTTCCTATTTTTATTTTAAGAGGACTTCCAGCCAGGTATATGGACAATTTATCCTACGTTTTATGAATAAGTATATTCAAAAGAGAATACATATAATAAATAACAAAAGCAATAAAAATCAAGTTGACATAGATTTACAACCTAACTGCTTTGGACCCATATTTAACAACACAAACCAGAACAAAAATCAAAACAATACAAATAAAGACAAAATATACATATCGGCACCATACATACCACAAGTATCAGTAAAAGTTCAAAAAGAATTAGGTAAATATAACAAACAATTGGCATACAGAAATGATAATAGCATAAAAAATAAATTATATTCAAAACTAAAAGATCCAGTAGAGAAATTAAATCAAACCCAAGTTATTTATAAAATTGATTGCTCAGATTGCGATAAGTGTTACATTGGACAAACCCAACAATATTTAAATAAACGTATAAATCAACATAAATTATCAATTAGAAATTCCATAGCAACTCCTAATTCATGTAGCACGGCATTAGCTGAACACGCCATAATTAATTCACACAATTTTAACTTTCCGGATACAACCATACTGCATAAAGAAAGAAATTCCAAAAAAACGCATGTGTTTGGAAATGGCCGAAATACAAAACAACAAAAAAACAGTAAATTATCAAACAGATATAGAAAATCTAAGTAGCATATATCGCAATCTTATTCAATAGTAACAATTTTTATACATCCTGTATATGTGCTAACTGCAAAATCTCTTCTCAACGGCTATCCAATATCATGAGAATGTTTACAATAACTCTGTCACTCGGACCATCAATATAAGTATACTATCAGCTGTTATAATTATCTACTCTCAAAAAGAACAAATACATCAACGACGACACCAAATATTGATCATTCTCTGCCTAACTCGTCGAACTACACGTACAATACATACATACCTACCAATTAAAAAAATGATGAAAAACAAAATAAGACCAGCCCATACAATGAAATTAAAATAGAAAATTTTTATTAGGTAAGAAAACACTTTTTTTAGATATTGTATTCTGTCACTAATCTAATTTAAGACTTATGTAAAACTATTATTTTTAGCTTTTAACCTTTGAAAAAGTCCGAAAACTCGGACGAAACGTAGGATAAATTGTCCATATACCTGGCTGGAAGTCCTCTTAAAATAAAAATAGGAAATAAAGTTTTTTTCTGTTTTTTATTGAAGAAATAATTTCTATTTTAACAGCCAACAACTTGTAAAATATCATTTGTTTCTTAATGTTTGCACGAAACCACTTTTTTATAGCTTGTGCATTACAATTTTGTACCTCTAATTTAAATTAAATTTAAATTGCAACTCCGGGGAATCACTAATCCACAAGTTTACTTTATCCTCTGGATGAATTGAACAAGAGGTTTTAAAAAATTAACCTCCGGTTGTCTTTAATTTCGCACTATTTACGTATCTAAATATTATTCACAATGACGTTTTATAAATACTATGTATTTAGAGTGTATTCAATATGAGGCAGTTGGCGTAAACGTGATAGACAAGACGGATCCGTCTATATCTATGCATTCGCATTGTTATTGGACATTCGACAATAACCATTCCCGTCAAGAAGATGGTCAATAAGTAATTGTTTCTTATAGCTGAAAGCCGTCCTACCTGATAAAAACCTTTAATTTTTTGTTCCCATTTTTATAAAGAAAACAGATTTATTGCATAAGAATATTTTATCATTTCATATTGTTTGGGAATAGTTCGTGAAGTACTTAGGAAATAATATTATATCTACCTAAATTGCCTCTGGGATTTATCTCAACCCCCCTAATCTCTATTCGTTTTAGCATTATTTCACGATATAGCGTATAATGAGAGAAACATAAATATTTATTGGTACATCCAAGGCCTCAAGAGATACACACCCAAATGGTCAAAAACGTTACGTCTAGATTTAATTAACTTATAGTACCAAAAAGGGTATCAAAATGTAAAAACTACAATACGATTAGTACTAAAAATTAAATGTTAAAAACTAATATGTAAAAAGCAGAAACATTCGAAATTGAAGAAAAAGAAAAATACCAATTTAGACCCGCAAATCGAATAGAAATTACATAATTTATGATACACCTATACCATTTAATATATAAGATGATCTATTCGCTTTATTACAAGCTTTCACAGAAGGTTTCAATTAATGCTGGATAGTGATAACAACTTTTTTTTATTTTCACTTTTTATTTTGAAAGGGACATTCTGTATACTTCACAGAATTAAACAGAGATCTTTAATACAAATTTGGGAATACAGGGTTTAGTGGGTGCAGTCTCTATTACATTTTATTGTAGACCCATAAGGCAATGTTGGCAAACAAAAAACATGTCCTCGATTTTTTAAAAGCAATATCATTTTCTTCTGCAAAAGCAATTCCTAAAGTAAGAAGGAAGAATGCAGCTGATTTAGGCGTAAACAAAATAGACACTACTTTATATATTCAAAATATTTTGTTGCAAAATCTGCTCATTTCAAACGAATACGGTATATTCTACTGTCCATTAAATTTAGAGCAGGTCACTCTAAATGATCACCTAATTCAAACCGTCATAACTTTTAAACTACTAGATGTATTTCGATAAATTTTCTTTCTCATAGACTGTGTTTTCATTTGCTTTTTACTTTCCGTTAAATTCCTACAGTTCACTTAGTTGGTACATGTTTATTTATATTCTTTTAAATGCAGCTGTATGCTTCTCCCATGATGGTAGAAAAATGTGTGTCATCCTGTATGACAGAAGAACTTTTTATAAGTTTGGAACACTTTTTAGTTTTCGAGTATCTGTTACACGATTTAAAAAAAAAATCTAATATTTTATATTTTTCCTAACTTGTTTCAATTGTCATCCTATGCAAAACTTGAATATGTAAGGTTATAAAACTTTATTTTAAGTCAATTAAAAATAACAAAAAGCTGCAACTACAACAAACAAGTACAACGACAAGTATAAGTACAAATTGTCAAAAGTATCTTTCACATAGCTGGACACTTCAACCAAAAATGGTGCACTGGTTGTATCCAAAGGGCCGTCGTACCAATAATAACCTACGCCTCCCTGATCTGGTGGCACAAGGCTGGAAAAGGAGAGGCGATGAGAATACTAGGCAAGTTGCAAAGACTTGCATGTCTAGGGATCACGGGAGCAATGTCAACAACGCCGACCGCAGCCTTGGAAATACTGCTAGGCCTACCTCCACTACACCTAGTGGTGGAGAATGAGGCACTAATAGCAGCATACAGGCTGAAAACAACTGGGTATGGGACCATCCCAAGGAGAGGATACCATACTGAAGTATTCCAATATGTAGGAAAAAATCGGCTACTCGATATGCAGTCAGACAGAATCATCACAACCTACAACTTCACAAAAACTTTCAGGGTAAAAATACCTG